TTTAAGTAGAAATCTTGTTTTGCATAATAGATCTAAGCATGTTGATGTTAGATTTCATTTTATTAGAGATATTATTTCACAAGGTGTTGTAAAACTTGAAAAGATATCTACTAATTACAACTCTGCTGATGTAGGTACTAAAATTCTACCTTTAAACAAATTCTTGGACTACTTGACCTTGCTGATATATGGATGCTACAAATCTGTGCTGATGATATCTATGTTATGAATAACCACTGATGAATATGAATCATTGTACCAAGGTGGAGTATAAAGGGAAAATATGGCACAATGATGCAAAAAGACATTGGGCCTAATCGAGATTGCCCAGCTGGAAATTGAAGGCCCAGCTATTAAATTTGTTATGTTTTTACTTGGTGCAAAAACGTGTTTGAGAAATGGCTTGAAGTTGTGTTTCACTTACCTGATGAAATGGACACCAAGGATGTCACCACGTGTCATCTCCAACACCGTTAGATTGGTGACTGTTGAGTGACCCTTATAAAGGGCTTCTAGAGTTGGATCACTGTACACTTTTGAGCTTCAAACTCTTCTATATTTCTCTCATCTGCTGCGTTGTTTCTTCGAGACCTCTTCTTCTTCTGTAGAAATCAAATATACACATTTGATTTCTGTTTTTCTTTCAATAGTGTGTAATCTTGTGTGATTTCATTGTTTGAGTGTTGGTTCTTGTGTGAGCCGTGTGCTATAGTTGAAGAGAGATCTTGTACTTGTGAAATATTGGTCTAGTCTGAGTGTCTACTTTTGTATTTCTACTTTGGGACTTGATTCGAGCATAAACGATGGTTTATTCTTGAGGCTGAAGCACAGACTGTGATGTGTAGCATGTGGGCTTCGTTTGTTCTTAATAAAAGATACGTTTCTTTCATTTTGCAGTTTATCTCGTGTTAATCTTTTACAGCTCATTTTGGTTTCTTTTAGCATATATAATTTGGTTGATCTTATGAGCTAATTTGTGAACTCCTCCCAACAGGGCACACAAAATTCATGTCCTATCTTACATTGGGTGCACACAGCCTCTTGGTTATATAAAGATTGGAAATCAGCATAAAGTTTAAAAATTAAAGAAAGCTTTATATGGATTAAGACAAGGCCCATAAGCTTGGTATAGTGGGATTGGTACTTATTTGTTGAATGAAGGTTTTAAAAATGTCCATATGAGCACACACTTTTTGTTAAAATTGGTGATAAATGAAAAATGTTCATTGTTTGCTTATATGTTGATGATTTAATCTACAACGGAAATGATAGTGCTATGTTTGAAAAATTTAAGAAATCCATGATGGCTAAGTTTGATATGTCTGATCTTGGAATGATGCATTATTTTATGTGTATTGAAATAGAACTTCTTGCATGGATTTTTTTCTCAAAACAAATATGCTCAAGAAATTTAGACAGGTTTAAAATGAAGAAGTGTAATTCAGCGAGCACACCTATGGAGACATGATTAAAGCTTGTTAAAAATTCGGAAGGAAGAAATGTAGATAGCACTCTTTACAAGCAGATTGTGGGAAGTTTAATGTATTTGATAGCAACAAAACTAAACATAATGCATATTATGAGTCTCATTAGTAGGTACATGAAGCAAATTGGAGAGATGCATCTTCTAGCTACTAATACGATTTTTCGATACTTGCAAAGAACCATTGACTATGGGGGTGAAAAGTTAAATTTGTTTGGTTTTATTGACAGTGAATATGTAGGTGGTCTTGATGATAGGAAAAGTACATTTGGCTATATTTTCTTGATGGGTCAATAGTTGTTTCGCGGTATTCAAAGAAGTAACCGAAACAACATGAAGTTAAATACAAATGAAAAAAAACTCAAATCCAGTAGTGTTGCAAAGGTAAAAAGAAAATATGCATAAAAGTTGTGAGATGGCCTAACTTATGCAAGTGTTCATCACTTGGTGGCACAGTGTTTCCATCTGTATCTAAGAACACAGCATGAAGTTAAATATAAATGAAAAAAGAAGTAAAAATTCATGCATTCATAAATCAAGATTCGAGAATAAAGATTTTTAAATGCTAGTTTAACTAAATCCTAAATATATCATGTCTCCTATAACATGTGCATGTAACTAGCATGACATCATGTACGTTGATGTGCACATGATTTGTGATATTATGACGTGACGAAGTATCACTTATTAGCGAATTAGTCTTTCCTTATTGGTGAATTCAACTATACAAAAACAAAATGCAGCTCGATTTTGAAGTTTCAAAATTAAATGGATAAACGAATCGAGCCATTTGACATAATATTTCCGAGTTTGATATCATACCTTTAGCCCATTACACCAAAAATGGCCTTTAGCAACATGCAAAATGCAACATTCAGTAATTAAATGTTGCTAAAGGAGTCTATCGCAAAATTTTAGCAAGTGAATGTTGTTATGGCTAACATAATTGAGTTTTCGCAACATTTATTAAATAAATGTTGCTAATGTCGTATTTTGCAACGTTTTATAAATATTGCGAAAAGTTTAAGTTTTTGCAACGTTATTAATTCCGGTTCTATAGCAACGTTCAGGGCCTCTTGTGGAAACTCTCAATATAAAGCTTTTTGCAATGTTTATTAACAGTTGTGAAAAGATTACTTTTTGTAAAGTTTTTTAATTGTTGAGAAAAATTTAAATTTTTGCAACGTTTTTAGAATGTTCTCAAAAGTTCACTTTTTACAACTTTTTTGAACGTTGAGAAAATTTTTACCTTTTGCAACGTGTATCAAACCAAAGTTGAGGGACTCATATTAATTATTGAATTGTTTCTCATTTCCTAAATTTTATTTCCCTCACACGTTACCCTCTTTCTCTTTCCTTTCTTTCCTTCCTCTTCCCTTTCCCTCAAAGAGCGAAGCTAATGAAGAATTGTTGTTTGAAGCAGCAAGCTGGCGATCGGAAATGGGCATAGCTGCAGTTCTAGGGTTTTATTCGGTCGGTAAGGAAATATGTAATTGTTTCAACTTTCGATTAGATGCAATTTAGTTCTCTTTTTGTAATTTTTAGGGTTTTCTACCTTTGTTAAATTCCCTTTTTGTGTTCTTTCTTAAGATTGAGCGGTCGACTTCAACTGTTTTGGTGTTTTGGTGTCCAATTCTTGGCCTCTTCCCAAAATCTGAAACCTAAGTCCTTCTCTTCCGGCTCTATCCTCTACTGGTCCTGGGACAAGGTAAGATAATCCACATGTTGCACTCTACTATTATGCTTTCTTCTCCATGTTAGAGTTATTGTTACTTTAGTATTACTATGTATTAGTTGATAACTTGCTCATCCAGTCATTCAGAGTTTCTGAGGGAGGCATATGAAAAGGGATGCTTGGTTGAGCCAAACCCAGTTTATGATGCTCGGAGGAAGCTTCTTTATCTTGTGGCTATAAGGTGTCGTGGCTTGGACAGAGGTATTGATGAGTTGAAGATTGTTGAGAGTGACGGAAATAGAGTGAAAGAAGAGCTACTGAAAACCTGAGTGATTTCTCCAGCCTGGGTAATAGGTGTTAGAATTTGGATTATGTTGTTGTCTTTGAAAATTTTGAGTATAGTCCACATTCTCTATTGTTTGAACAAAAGAAGATCCTGCATTATAATAAACACTCTTGTAGTTCCCTCCACAATGTTTACATTTCGGTCCTATTGCATGGGCTACGTTCATCTGATCCACCTTATGTGCCTATGATGCCAACAGTGCTGATATTGCTGTCAAAGAATCAACTTCGAATACCCCTACAGCTCTATTTCCACTCGTCCTTTCAATATGCCAAAGTGTACTGGTAAATGCCAGATCCTCCATGATTTGGTAGACTTGATCCGTGGTCATCACACGCGGAGTCTATGTTAGCCTTGCTTCTCGGATTCAAACCAATGTATAAGTACTGCACCTGAAGCCATTTCTACAATCCGTGTTATGGGCATTGGCGGAGTAAACCTTTGCATCGTTCCCAAGCATCCGAATAGCATTCCGAGTCCAGTTGTTGGAATGTTGTAATCTCATCTCTCAGCTTTGCAATCCTTTTAGGTAGAAAATATTTACTAATAAGTTTTTGATTCAATTGATTCTATGTAGTGATGCTCTGAGGTAGACAAGTGTTTAACCACTCTCTGATTGAATTTCTCAATGTGTATGGAAAAAGTCTCAGCCTGATTGCTTTCTGGACACCCCCGGATACTCGATAGTTGCACACATGTCCAGAAATCTTGATACATGAGCGTTGGGATTCTCCGAAGCTCTCCCAAAGAATTGTAATGTATTTTGGAACATGTTTATCACATCAATCCTCAGGTGAAAGTTTGCCTGAACAAATGTCGGATATATTATACTAGATTGACTTTCCACAACCCGTGGAACCACGTACTCTCCCGTTAGCCTTGCATTTTCATTAGCTGCAGCCACATACGGTTGTGATGCTTCCAGATTAGCCACTACGACTATATGATTCAGATTTTCCTCTGCCATATCTTTCTCTTTTTTTTTTTTTGTTATTGGTGTGTTTACAATTGTTGTCTTTTTTGAAAGTTGAATGTTTGTTCGATCTCTAGGTCAAATTGAGCAAGATCATCGGTTCTAGAACTTCGCATACACGTTCTCGAAAAAGTAACCAGGAAACACTATAATTTTTTTTTAATAAACTAAACTAAAGAAAAATAATAAAATTCAGATTAAAACTAAAATTAACTAAATGTATCAAAAACAGTAGTCTCCGAAAACGGCGCAAAAAACTTGACCGTTTGAATCATATAATTCTAGTAATCTATTTACTTACGTTACGAAATTGTATAGAAGAGCCTAATATTTATAGTGATCATGTAGGGGATGTTCAAACCATAATGGTAGAGTTGTTGAAGAAGTAGGATGCCAAAGAATCGAGTCCAAAATGAAAAATGAGAGAAAAACGCGGAAACCTAAAAGATGTTAGGTGGCGCCTGACGTGTTGCCCAAATTTTATTTTTGTTCCAAATTATTTTCTCCATCCCGAACGATCTTCTTTACGTCCAATACCACTTTTCAACTCACATTGGGCTTTCAAAATAGAATTTCACTTTGACATAGGACTTCAATAGCATTCCAAACTGAATTCTTCTTATCGTGCACTTCACTTAGAATTCTTCAATACTTTAAATAAGGAATTCGGGTCACACCCAAATTCTAACAATTATTTAATGAAATTGATAGTTCATTGTATAGCTATACAAGAGCAAAACCTACATGATCATAGAAATTGTGAGACAAATGGTTAAACTTAATCACTCAAAAGGTGTCTGAGAAATTAGTATATAATGATCCTATATCAATGGCATCATAAGAATATTATTAGCGATAATAGAACTCTCAAACGGAGATAAAGTATTTTATCATTTCTACGTTGATTGAGCTAAAAATACAGATGATAATACATATACGAATGGCTATTTAGTTTATCTTGAACATAATCCAACCTCATGAAACTCTCCCAAACAACTATCTATTGCTTGTTCTTATATAAAGGTTGAGTATCAAGTTGTTGCATCTAGAAATTCTATCGATTCATTCACTGCTCAAAGAACTTAATGTCACTATCTTAGATGCACTAGTCATTTGTTGTGACAACATTAACACAATTGTCATGTGCAAATTTGGTGTTTCACTCTCTCATTATGCATATCGATATTAATTTTCATTTTATTTGTGACAAGGTTCAAAACAGTAAGTTACACGTTGCACACGTGCCATCTTTTGATTGACTTGCCAATGCTCTAACAAAGCCCTTGTCTAGTGCTCGATTTCATCTACTTCGGTTCAAGATCGATATTTTTGAAGGGAGTACCATCTTACAAGGAGCGATAAACATGATTAGTACTTTAGTTTATCATTTATCATATTGTAACAATCCACTCTTCTAGTTATTTTAGACCTCTAGTTTCATTGGCATTGTAGCTCTATAAATGTAACAAACTAATTAGTTTAGTACTCTACTCTGTTTTGTGTTCTGGCTTTAATGCTATAGAACAATAAAAAATTAAGTCATTCAATTTAGATTTGATGTCTCATTATTTTTTCTGCAAATAGAAGAGTTTAGACTCTAAGAACTCATAGCGTCGGTGGATGATTATTTGTGAAACATAAAATTGTCTCTTTTGTCCATTTTTAATGTAATTTACACATCTCAATTATTTGTATTTCTTCTGTCCATTTTCTGTTACATTTTAACTGTACTGGAATAATAAATTTTTAATTATTTAATAATTATATAAATATTATCAGGTTAATATCTAGCCTGTTAATTCTTTCAATAGCCTGCCAATTCTTTAATATAATAATTAAAGTCAATAGCCGCAATTAACTTTTTTACTCAAAAGTTTCTCAAAAAATTCAATAAAGGGTCAGTATTCTGATTTCAATAAAATAGAATAAATAGAAAACGTTTTTTTATAAAATTTAAATGTGTTTGAAACTAAAAACACTAGCATTTTAGAGGTCTCCTTACATCCTAAATTTAAATAAAATAAAGTTTTTAATGACAATGACATATTTTTTTAGGTTGTTGAATAAGTGGATGTACTAAGAATTATGTGGTTGTGGTGGTTGTGGGGGTTGTGGCCTTCAATTTAGTAAGCGTGCTTAGAAATGAAACATGCATGAAAATTTGGATCAGTTGTTGACAAATTTGCTTCTTAGTTCGTGTAGCACAGGACAATGATTGTTTATTTTTTCATTTAGTTAACATGAATTTTTTTATCTTTAATGTGTTTGTTAAGAGATATAATCTCATATCGAATAAAGATGTAAACATAAATCAATTTATAAAGGATTGAATTACTCCTCTTAATAAGGTTGACATTTTAAAATAGAACTCAATTCTTAACATGGTATTAGAGCCCATTAAGTTCTAACGAGCAATTCGATATGCGAAGAATATTATATTGAACTTCAAATTTCATTTGAACTTGTTGGACACTAGTATTATACTGAGTCTTAGAATCATCTCAAAAAATAGTTCAAATCCTTTCATTTGATTGTTGTTTTAAAATTTGACCTATGCGAAAATTTTACTTATTAAAGTATCGAAGTATCTTAGGAATTGAATAAAACTAACCTATACTATGGTCTATGGACGAAGGGGAAAAATAGAAAACTGATTAAATTGACTAGGATTATTGTTTGTATTAACTAAACGAATTATTATACTTCAAGACTGCAACTCAAACGCAGTTAAAATAAAAATAATAATAAATTTCAAGTAAATTTGACTGAAAAAATGACTTGATTATTCATAAAAGTGGAAGAATTAAGCTGTCAGATAAATATTGAATTAGTGAATAGGTCATAGTTCGCAGAATTGTGGATTTTAAAACATTTTGAATCTCTAGTAAAATTAAGAATTTTATTTCTAATTTATAACTTGTTTTATTGGTTAATTGACTTGCGTTGAATCATATTAACTAAAAATATATGTCAATTATTTGAATGAACTTAATCAAATTAAACATGCATGAATTCACTATAGCCAGAAAATGTGTGGGTATGGATTGTTAAGGGATAGACTCCCACACCCAAATAAAGATGTAAACTTAAACCAACTTATAAAGGATTGAGTTACTCCTCTTAATAAGGGTTGACCTTTTAAGATGGATCCCAATTCTTAACATGGATCACTTGACAATGTAGCACAGAACCATGATATGTTTAGAGTATTTGGATTCCATTATTTTTACATTTGATTAATACAAATTTTGTTATCTGTAACATGCTCTTACAATATAATGATTCCTTTGAAAACACTAATTCTGAAATTCAACCGTTTATTTGAACTTTAGATGGATTTTCATTTGAACTTGTTGGACTCTAATATTAGTCTTAGAATTCCATCTTGAAAAATAGTCTGAAACCTTTCAAATGATTGTTATTTTCGAATTTGACCAATGCGAAAATTTTACTGATTAGGTCCTTTTGCTTCCACTAAATATCTTCCTATCAAATGTTCTCAAATCAATTGCTAACACAAAAGATTAGGTCCCTCATAGACAAATATCCATCACAAAAGGAGAAACAACCCGTTCCTCCATTGATGTGTAGAATTTAAGGTCTATTGAATCATAGATAGCAACCAGAGTACTTTGGTACATATTTACACAGACTCGTGAAGAAGTCTCGAGTTCCGTTAAAACATTTTTAGTATATTTATTAAAACTGCTAAACTTGGTTGCAAGAAAAGGAGAACTTTAGCCATTGAATTTGAACTTCATTAATGTTAACTTAAAAATTTCCTATTAGCAGATTCTTTTCCATCTTCGTGCCAACCTTTATATTACTTTCGTACTGGAAGTCTGTTGGCATGCAAAGTCATTGTTGCAAGAAAAAGGGTGGCAAACGTTTGTATTTCGAAAATCAGGTCAACTGCTGAAAAAAATATAAAAAAGGAAAATGAATTAGGAAAGACAAGAAAACAAGGATTGGTTAGCTTTTTGAATTGCGTACTTTTTCTTTGAGCTATG